GTGTGGACATTCGTATGGACATTAGAATGTACATTCATTTATTAAGATATAAAAATTGCATAAAGACTGCAAATGGGTGCTGGAAGGTTTCCCTGAGACCGTGTCTGGTGGAATGACCCCCATGGTGTGGGCCTGTGTTCCGCCCCAGTGGCTCAGACTGCTCCCAAATCCACCTCCAGGGAAGAGCTGCCACATTCCCACTGATTTTCAGGCCCTTCCTGCATGGGAATGCGGGATTTGCTGCATTGCAGTCCTACCTAGAACACCAAGGAAGCAGTGCTCACACACCTGTGCTCAGGGCTCTAACGTTTCCCAGTCCATATTTAACTCTCCAGCCCTCCTGGTCAACTGATAATCACGGTTCCCCACCCCACCTTGCTGAGGTGCAGCACCCAGGAAATGCACATCATTACACTTACGTCAATGACTGTGATGAAGGTGTTCCTGTGCACCAGCATCACTACAACACAAGGGGAGAAAGGCTTCCTCCAGGATGTGTCCTCATGTCCCTGGGATTCCTCCCACTGACCCCTTTCCACCTCCTCACCCAGGTGACCAGGATCTTCATGGGGCTTCACAATTGATCTCATTTTCGAGAATGCACACGAATGGATGCCCAGAGGAGCTTTGATGCTGAGGGGCCAGGAGCCTGGGCCAGGAGCTATTAGGGTACTTTTCACAATTCCTACAGGGAAAAGCAAGTCTGGGCCAAGAGCTTGATAAAAGTGAAGGAATAAGGCATTTGGAATGAATGTTTGTAGACCTCAAGGCTGCCTGTGTTTCTCATCTAAGTGATCAGTAAACCCATTTTTCTCAAATAAACCCATGGATGCTGCGCTGGCCTGAGGCTTCCCTGCATGTGGCTCCTGGTGGGAAGCACTGGCCACGCTACACACCCACCCTCTGCTCCTTCTTAAGCTGTCAGTGCTGCCATCTGTCCCTGGGAGTGATTGCACATTCTGGGAGATGAACAGTGGTCTTTGAAGGGACACTTTGGTCAAAGACACCCCCTTGAATTTATGGGACCTTCCCTGGACTCCAGGGCAGTGTCAGAAAACCCCTCTCTCCACAGCCTCTGCCCATCCATCTGGGTCAGAGGAGCTGCTGGAGCTGCCACCTCTCAGCACCACCCCTCTCCCTGCCTTCTTCCTGCACAAGGCTGCTGCCCAAATAAAAAATCCAGGGCAGTTAAATCCAGTCATTATGACTGTTTTAGGGGACATGGAATAAAAGGGAAAAACAGCCCAGTGATTGATAGAGACCTGCTTCTATGGGCAGGTGTCATATAAACTGACCACGGCCGTGCTCAGAGCTGGGCCACCTGGCTGGCTTGTCCCCTCCAGTTCTTGTCTCCAACAGTCACCCACAGTCCCTGTAAGGGGGTCTGCAGATGTCATGAACATCCACCTCCTCAGTGCCCTGAGACTCAGGGTATGTCCTAGAAAACCGGGGTGTTCCAGGTTCGGTCAGAGCAGGGCTGAGGGACACGATGTGCTCAGGGGACAGACGCCTCTGCTGTGGCTCAGGAGGGACAGTGTGGCCCTGTGGGGTGGTGGTGACTTCTATGGGCAGGTGTCATATAAACTGACTACGGCCGTGCTCAGAGCTGGGCAACCTGGCTGGCTTGTCCCCTCCAGTTCTTGTCTCCAACAGTCACCCACAGTCCCTGTAAGGGGGTCTGCAGATGTCATGAACATCCACCACCTCATTGCCCTGAGACTCAGGGTATGTCCTAGAAAACCTGGGTGTTCCAGGTTCAGTCAGAGCAGAGCTGAGGGACACGATGTGCTCAGGGGACAGAAGCCTCTGCTGTGGCTCAGGAGGGACAGTGTGGCCCTGTGGGGTGGTGGTGCCCAGCCTGCCCCACGTCCCAGCCCTGAGCCCTCAGTCACCACCCTTCCCCACCCTCCAACCCCACAGGGAGGGTGGCCTCTGCAGGACAGCTGAGCCTCACGGGACCCACACCCACATCCCAGGTACTGATCCAGCCTCCCCCTGGGCCTCTAACCCGCACTGCCTTTCCCCAGGGTCCATGTGTGGACGAAGCAGGCATGTCCTGGGCAAGGGTGGTGAGGATGTCCCATAGGCCTTTTATAGTGCTGGGGGTAACCTAGCCTAGGTCACACCTGAGGCTCAAATTCACCCCTGAAGCCACATCAGGGAGCAGGAGACAGAGATGTGTCCACACAGTTTAGCAAAGAAAGCCACTAATTCACAGAAAGTGGGGCAATGCGAGCAGGGCTCAGAGAGCCTGACCCGGACACTTTCTGAGGAGGAGGGTCAGATGTCACTCCCACCAGGTTCTCAGGCCACAGGCCCCAGACTGGATGCCTTGGATGTCACCCCAGTCCTGAGAATACCCTCGGTGGTTTCATAAGAGTTCTGTCCTGTGTCTGATTGGAAAACTCCCCCTCAGGGCCCTTAGCATCTTCGAGCCTCTGCTTTGGGACCCCTGCATCCATTGCTGCCTCCATAGGTGACCCCCTGTGTTTGGTGCATGTGATAAAGTGACCACACATCACAACAAAATCTCCTAAGCCAGAAATGCCCAGTTCCCAAGTCATGAGGAGCACAGAGGGTTTCCATAGGAAGCAGTTAGATTCAGCGGAACCCACAAACTGGCAGAAAACAGCCTCCCTGGGCACCTGCTCCTGGGGCTGCTCTCTGTGCTGTGGGTGCTGAGCGCCCCCTGGAGTCCCGATGTCCCCTAGTGCATCCTGCATGTCCCAGGGTGTCATGAGCACATGGTATATCCTGAGCATCCCTGGGTGCACTCAGTGCCCCAGAGACCTGAGATGCCTCCAGTGGTCCTGAGAGCCCCTGAGAGCCACTGTGGGACCTGGGAATGTGGGCAGAGCTGCTTTGGGCTGAGGGTAAGAGGCCCCCACCCCCACATCCATGTGGGTCTGTAAGTGCCCAGGTGGTCTCAGGGCCTTAGCTGGACAGACATACATGAAGGGCCCATCCTGCC